GGGCTGGCTGATGTGTGGTACTGAGTCATGGAACCTGCGGCCTAGGAAACAGTTCTAGTGTTGAAATGGGCCCAGGGGAGGGGGTGGAGTGGGTGTCTCTAGTTTGCCACCAGCACAGACATCATCACCACTCACACTTCCTGTCATCCCTGGGTCACATTCATGGTCATCACTCATCTTCGACCCTGCCACTCATTTGTCACCCTCACCGTCATCCCTGCATCACAACCACTGGCCCTTTCTTAACCATGGTTTCACTTGACCCAGTTCCCATCACTGTGTTACCTTCCTCAGCATGCCACCATCCCTGTCCCAGCCCCATGCCCAAGGCTGTCGTTATCTGAGCCTGCCCTGTCTTCTTTATCATCTACCTCTACCCCAACCCTGTCACTGGCTAGTTCCACTCCCATCTCCCTTGTCACCTTGATGTCACCACCTGTCCCTGTCATCCTCATCACCTTGGTCACCACACCCCTCACCCCCTGTCCCAGTCCCCATCATCTCTAAGTCCTCTGGACTGTCATCAGCTTCCACCATCCCCTCTGTTGATTCACCAGCACTGCCCATCTCTGCTTCCCCCCTCACTATCATCAACATCCTCCTTATCTCCAGCCACTCATATAGGTCTCCAAATGGGCTTTTCCCTGTGGTGTAGACGTCCTCCACATGTGTGCACCTCAGAGCCTGTACCCCTGCCTTTCTAGCCTCTGGCCTCCACTGGGCTTCCTTACCTGGAGTTGCCACATTCCTTGCCTTCACACTCTGCCCTGGCACTCTGCTTCCTTTCACCCCTATGTTAGCTGGACTCTGGGGCTAGGCACTTATTACCAGGCTTTTGAAAGAGTACTGGGTGGAGGCCTTGCCAGGAAGCCCTGAATCCTCTCTACCTGCACCTATGACATTTGGGCAGTGCTTCCATCCAGCCTGGATCTAAAATCTCCATTTATTAAATTGACTAACATTTCCCTTTTTAGAATTCCTTGATGTCCCCTCAGACTATTACCTCTCCCTTATGATACACTTTCACGGCCCCCAGTACTTTGACATGTAATACTTATGATCCACTACTTATTCATATAGTCATATGTTTAAGACCATCTTGCCCACCAGACAGGACACTCTGGGAAGGCACTAACTGTGTTTATCTCGGCCACTGCCAGGTCCCCAGAGCCTGGCACAGTGCCTGGTTTCTTGTAGGGGCTCAGCAAATGTCAAGTGAATAAATACTACTTATTGAGCACTTAATAGTGCCAGACACTGTGGTGAGTGCTGTACACCTATTAACTTGGTTATTCCTTGTCATATTATGGTATCCCTTTTTATTTTATTTACTTTTGAGCATTGCAAGGGCTTTTTAGCTGATTTGGCACAAGTGCTTTTGACAAAGTTCACGAACAGAAGCACATTTCCAATTACTCATCAGAAAGTGAGGACACTTAAGAGAAAGCCAGTTACTCATAGAACAAGGAAAAACACTTTCTTGTAATTAGGGCAAAGAGAATTACAGCTTGTAATGTCACCTCTTGATTTCATCTTTATTATCTCTGAGGGAAGTAGAAGAAGCTGGGGGCTAGGATTGGGGGTGAGAGGGATACCTGAAGAAGATCCGTTCTCATCTCCGGAAAGCAAAAATTAGATCCTCACCTTACACCATCAAACTTATGGTTTTAAGAGATAAATATATAAAGGGTTAAAATAAAGCTGCAGACTTCAAGCTGTATTACAAAGCTGTAATCATCAAGACAGTATGGTACTGGCACAAAAACAGACACTCAGATCAATGGAACAGAATAGAGAACCCACAAATGGACCCACAAACGTTTGGCCAACTAATCTTTGACAAAGCAGGAAAGAATATCCAATGGAATAAAGACAGCCTGTTCAGCAAGTGGTGCTGGGAAAACTGGACAGCGACATGCAGAAGAATGAACCTGGACCACTTTCTTACACCATACACAAAAATAAAATCAAAATGGATGAAAGACCTCAATGTAAGACAGGAAGCCATCAAAATCCTCAAGAAGAAGGCAGGCAAAAACCTCTTTGATCTTGGCCGCAGCAACTTCTTAATATGTCTTCGGAGGCAAGGGAAACAAAAGCAAAAATGAACTACTGGGACGTCATTAAAATAAAAAGCTTATGCACAGGGAAGGAAACAATCAGCAAAACTAAAAGGCAACTGATGGGATGGGAGAAGATATTTGCAAACGACATATCAGATAAAGGGTTAGTATCCAAAATCTATAAAGAACTTATCAAACTCAACACCTAAAAACCAAATAATCCAAGTGAAGAAATGGGCAAAAGACATGAATAGGCACTTCTCCAAAGAAGACATCCAGATGGCCAACTAACACATGAAAAAATGCTCAACATCACTTATCATCAGGGAAATACAAATCAAAACCACAATGAGATATCACCTCACACCTGTCAGAATGGCTAACATTAACAACTCAGGTAACAATAGATGTTGGTGAGGATGTGGAGAGAGAGGCTCTCTTTTGCAGTGCTGGTGGGAATGCAAACTGGTGCAGCCACTCTGGAAAAGAGTGTAGAGTTTCCTCAAAAAATTAAAAATAGAACTACTCTATGACCCAGCAATTGCATTACTAGGAATTTATCCAAGGGATTCAGGTATGCTGGTTAGAAGGGGCACATGCACCCCAATGTTTATAGCAGCTATCAACAATAGCCAAAGTCTGGAAAGAGGCCAAATGTCCATTGATGGATGAATGGATAAAGAAGATGTGGTATACACACACACACACACACACACACACACACACACACACACACTATGGAGTATTACTCGGCAATCAAAAAGAATGAAATCTTGCCATTTGCAACTACGTGCATGGAACTAGAGGTTATTATGCTAAGTGAAATTAGTCAGAGAAAGACAAATATCATGTGACTTCACTCATATGAGGACTTCAAGATACAAAACAGATGAACATAAGGGAAGGGAAGGAAAAATAATATATAAACAGGGAGGGGAACGAAACATAAGAGACTTTTAACTATGGAGAATAAACAGGGTTACTGGAGGGGGTTATGGACTAAATGGGCAAGGGGCGTTATGGAATCTACTCCTGAAATCATTGTTGCACTATATGCTAACTTGGATATAAATTAAAAAAAAATAATAATAAATAAATAAAAATAAAGCTGGATGTTTCTTATATTCTTTGTTCCAGTTATTTTATTCCTGGGAATTTAATTGGAGATGTAGACCAAGGCTTTGTCCAAATATCTTCATTGCAATGTTATTTATACCACTGAAACATTAAAATACAAATACATATTTATGCACGAAAAAAATGAAATATAAAACTTCAAAGTTGAAGACAAACTGAGTACCCAACGATAGAAGACAGATGAAATAAAGTATGGTTTGTCTCTTAGCTACTGAAATCATGATTCTGAAGAGCTCATTATTCTATAATCATGGCATTAGGTGAAAAGGGCATTATACCAACAGGCTTATATAGAACTGTTTTCAATTATGTCAACAGAGTACTTAGATCAAAGAGTGAAAAGGAGCAAAAGGGTTAATAGGTGTTGTGTTGTTTCTGAATTGTGAGCAATTTGCTTTTATTTTTTGTAGTTTTCACATATCTTTGATAGGCATTATTGCTTTGATAATAAAACCTATGCATTTGTAAAGACAACAACAACAAAGAGGCAAGAATAATGTTTTATGTGAAAGTGCACATATTTTATAACCCTCTATTACTTTTTTTAAGTTTATTTATTTAGAGGAGGGGGGTGCACATGTGAGCAGGGGAGGGGCAGAGAGAGAGAGAGAGAGAGAGAGAGAGAGAGAGAGAGAGAATCCCAAGCAGGCTCCATGCCCAGCGCAGAGCCCCCTCAATCCCACAAACAGATCAGGACCTGAGTCGAAATCAAGAGTTGGATACTTAACTGACTGAGCCACCCAGGCACCCAACCCTGTATTACTTTTTGATTTACTAGATTGTCAGTCCTATGAAGCCAGGTCTTGTCTGTTTCTTAGCCCCAGGCCTGAAGGAAAGAATGATTGGCAAAGCGTGATGGAGTTAATGAAATATATATATATATATATATATATTTTTTTTTTCTTTTTCTTTTCTTTTTTTTTTGTCACATCTCTCACTAACTGTCATTTCAATTCTTCAGAGTAATCCCTCCTTACACAGAAAGAGTGTTTTGGGGGCTGCCTTGATCTGCAAAATCATAAACCTGACACATGTGAAGGCACATTGAAGAAGCGATGTGAATTTGAGAAATTCTTATCAGAAATATGAAAATAAGACCTGATTATGCCCTAAGTCTGTTCCTCCTCCTTTGTTCCCCTTAATTCAGACAGGGCCACTGCCCTAGCGAAATCCAGAGTCACCCACACCTCTTGCTCCTGCATTCCCATCGTCAATCACTCCTCAGCATCCTCGCTGAAGCTCACACTCCTTTTCCATCCCTAATGCTACTCTCTTTGTTCCAGCCACCATATCTCCTGCCTTCATCAAGCAGCTGCCTCCTAACCAATTTCTCTGCTCCACTCTTGCTCTTCCCACCCAAATTCATGCCTTCTGAGCTAAGCTTTCTAATACACTAATATAGCCTGCCATTCCCCTGTTTACAGCCCTTCAGTGGCCCCCGCATCACTCTCAAGAGCAAGCACGAGATGGTTCAGGATCTCAGGCCAACCACTATCATCACCGCACTCCCACCCTATCCAGCCACACAGAATTTTGCTGTTGGCAGTACCCAGGCTCTCTCTGGACCTTTGCCTGGGTTGTCTCTTCTGGGGGCGGGGTGGGGGAAGGGGGGTGCGGGGGGGGGGTGTGCTATCCTTTCTGCCTCACACTTCTTTTAATTGGCTAACTCCTTCTCACCTCTCAGTTGTTAGATGTCCCTTCCTCCAGGAAGGCGTCCTTGATGCCACCTCTTCTCAACTCCCACAGGCTTCTGTGCTTATTATTTCTCATATCTGCATTGTACCTTCTTATTTTACTCACCAGCTTCTGTATGTGGCATGTAAACCATCCAGCTCTGGGACTGTGACTTTTTCTCCATGGCACATCAAGGCACCTCACACTTGGTAGGGTTTCCTACCAAGTTGATGAATGAATGAATGTTGATGAATGAATGAAAGAATGAATGGGTAACAAATAAATCAAGTACTCTACTAGGAATTGGTTAATATTTCAGATATGCTCTGAAGTAGAAAATCAGAAAAAGATGTCCTAAGAGGACCTATAAATTCTCCAAAGGAATTTAAATTGTCTTATGATCTAAGAAATAATGTGAATCTGATAGTCTAGAATTCGGGGGTGAATCTGGAGTTGGGAAAAATGGTGTGGTGGGAGGGACAGTGGGAATGGCACACCCCATCTGGGGGAAGTATTTTATTACCAACATTGTTTAGAATTACTGCTGATGGCAATGAGAAGACTTTTAGTTTTCTGACTACTTTAGTCTACTGACTAAAGTAGTATTTTAGTCAGTATTATTGTTTTTAAATTCTCTGCTGTTGATGCACCCTTATCGCTTGTCCCCAGGGAGCACTGCTTCCACGGGTCCCCATTTAGTATGCCACTGGTAAGAAACCCTGATTACTAGGTGAGCCTGTCCTCTTTCCTCCCCTTAGCACTGAGCTGGGGGTGATTTCAGAGGTGTCCAACCTCCAAAACTCTGCTGGGCAAGTTTGTCCTCTACCAGAGGTGGGCCTCACCTGTGACTCCTCTGACACTCCCAGATTCCTCACTGGGGCCCTCTGGGTTTGCAGCAAGGAGACAGGGATAGGAGACTATGCATAGGGTCCAGCCCCTGCTCGAGTCCTGTCCCTGACTAACACCCCTGAGGCCTTGGGCTGGCTCTTGGGGCCCACACCCTCAATTCCCTGTTGAGTTTCACTTTGCCCATTCATAAAACTGGGGCATTTGGTGACCTGGGTCCTGGGGTCCTTCATGGAACTTCCTAAGCTGAGGAAGGGATGTCAGCCATGGGTATGATGGGAAGTTGCCCCCTCAGGCTCCCTCTTTCTCTTTCTCTCTCTGACCTGAGACATTCCACCAGAGGGGACTCACTGGGTTGGGTGTGTCAGCCAGCTGGACAGCAGACAAGTCTGGACAGGTGGACAGAGGAGCTTGGGCTCCAGGATAGGGTGTGTGCATGTGTTGTGTAGAGCGTGTAGATGAGGTATATCCCAGGCAAAGGTCAAGGATGGGAGAGGTGGCTCCAGCAGGCCGGCTGCCCTCACTCAGTGATGGCCTTCAGGAACTGCAGAGACAGAAGCTGGGTTGGGCTAGGCTTCTGGCTCTGCCATGGGGCTGGGGTGGGGCTGGGGGGTGGAGAACAGCTCTTTGGTGAGTTCACTTCTAGAGTGGGAGCCAAGGTCCATTTCTGGGAAGGAAAGGAGGTATCATGAAAGCAGGTGGGATTCAGGTTAGACTGTAGGAGGGGCAAGTGATGGTGGATCAGGGAGCATGAGGTGCCTCCTTATTTGGGCTCCTTCCCAGGAGGGAGGGGAAGAGCTGTACCACTTAGCTCCTCCACGAGAGTGAGGACTGTCTTGTTAGGAGGCAAAGCAGATGGACAGGATGAGCTGGGGAACAAGGTAGCATGTAGCCTTCAGCCAGGGTTGGGGCAATTCATAGCTCAAGAGGAAGCCCTGGGACATCTAAGGCTTGGGTCAGACACCTGCCAGCCCTGGATCTCAGTTGTTCCTCAGTGAAATGGGAAGAATCTCCTTGGGGTTTGCCTATCAAAGACAAAGTGTCCCCTAACCTGGTCACTGAAGACCAGGGAGTCTCTGTTATAAGTTACTTCTGAAGTCCTGGAAGCTAAGAGAAAACTCAGCTGAAATTTGGGCTGAGTGGGGGTACCGATAGGGGAGGCTGGACCTTTTGGGGGCAGAGTGGTGCATTAGCATGCAAGTAGCCAGATCAGACATGCTCATCAGAAAGCTCCCAGGACAAGTAGGGAACATTCTCACCTTTCCTTCCCAGACATTCTGAGTCCCTGGATTAAGACCTCTCATCCCCAACTTCCCTAATCTTGTCTCTTCCCCAGTGTCCCTCTGCAAGGCTCCTCAGCTCCTCCTCTTTCATTCCACGAATATTTATTGAGTGTCTTCTATCGGCCAGGCATTTTCTAAGCCCCAGGGATTCAGAGGTGAACAAGATTGTTGGTCCACATGCTCATTCCCTCCCTCCCTACCCAGAGGGAAAACAGGCTTGAAAATAAGTAAGGTAGCTTAGCCTTCACTGGCCATGAAAGAGAGAAGCTCACATGGCTGCAGAGACCCACAGGAGGCCCCACATCCAGCCTGGGAAAGGTCAGGGCAGAGTAATGGATCCCTGAGTCTAGAAGGGCCTGTTGGCGTTTGCCAGGGAGGCTGTGGGCAGAGGTTCTGGAGCCTCCCCCACAGGTTCACAAGAGCCAACTGTTATGTTTTCAGGAATTTTGCAAACTGTTTACTACACACAGCCATTATTAAAAATTAAATTAGGGAGGCCTGGGTGGCTCAGTCAGTTAAGTGTCCAACTCTTTGTTTCAGCTCAGGTCATGATCTCATGGTTTGTGGGTTTGAGCCCTAAGTCGGGCTCTGCGCTGGCTGGCGGCATGGAGCCAGCTTGGGATTCTCTCTCTCCCCACCCCCCCTGCCTCTCCCTCACTTGCGTTGTCTCTGTCTCCCTCAAAATAAATAAATAAAGCTTTAAAAATTAAATTATATAAATTTATAATTTATGCAATGTATAATTATGCAAAATTTTTAAGTGTTTATTTTTGAGAGAGAGAGAGCACGAGAGGGAGAGGAGCAGAGAGAGAGGGAGACACTAAATCTGAAGCAGCCTCCAGGCTCTGAGCTGTCAGCACAGAACCCCACGCAGGGCTCAAACTCACGAACTGAACTGGGAGATCATGACCTGAGCCAAAGTCAGACGCTTAACTGACTGAGCCACTCAGGCAACCTGTAATTATGTAAATTTTTAAAAACAAAGGTAATAAACTCATCACGTTCTAATTGTTACTGCATTTTACTATTGTGCATACTCTTGAAGTTATTTATATAAATTGTATCTTTTATTTAAAAAAAAAGTTTATTTACTTTTGAGGGAGGGAGGGAGGGAGAGAGAGAGAGAGAGAACAATCAAGAGAGGGGCAGAGAGAGGGAGATAGAGAATCCCAAGCAGGGATCTTTCAACTCAGGTCATGATCTCACAGTTCGTGGGCTCGAGCTCCATGTCAGGCTCTGCACTGTCAGCAGAGCTTGCTTGGAATTCTCTCCCTCCCTCTTTCTCTCTCTGCCCCTCCCATGTGCACATGCTCTCTCTCTCAAAATAAATAAAAAACAAACTTAAAAAAAAAAAAAGCTTGTCATGTCTGTAGCCACTACATTGTGAGTAACACAAAACCTTGAGGAAACATTCTTCCAATGTTTGAAAACTATCATTCAATTCAGCAAAAAAGATCACTTACATCATTGGCAAGTAAGTAAAGTTTCAACACATGTCTTGTTCTTTTACTTTTGTCTTACCCTTTAATATAAATAAAAATATCAACCAACATTTATGTTAGAACTATACTCATTAGTCAATGATGTGAAGACTTTTTTTGAATCAGATAGTAATCAAGCATTTGCTCATGGTCAGATTTTGTCAAATCCTGGATGAACTGCAACCGAGTAAACTACAGATATTAGAGTGGGCAAAAATTAAAGCAAGTATTACATAAAGTAATTGGCATTGTAGAATTTACCATAAAGGTCACTGTATACTTTAGTGTTATTTGTAAATTGTGTTATTTTACAGCTTTATACCAATAGCATTTATAATAAACTTCTGTATGTATATAGATGCACACATTTTTTCCCAGAGAGCCAGCTGTTAAGCATTTAGCAGCACATCACAGGACAGAAAGTTCTGGGAAGAGAGGACCCAGGGGAGTCCAGGTGCTCAAGGCAAAGTGAGAGGGGAGATGGTGAGGCTGGTGGATGTGAGGGGCCTTTTGAGCAGGGCTAGGGAACCACACACCATCCCGAAGGCCATGGGAGCCATGCAAGGGTTTTGAGTATAGGACAGACCCCTTCAGATTTGTGTTTAGATCATGTTGACAGCTGCGTGAAGACTCCATTGTTAGAGACAGATGATAAGGTGCTGAATTTTGGAGGGAGAGAGAATAATAGGAGCAAACTCTTAGCACTTAGTATAGGCCAGGCCCTCTCCTAAGCATTTGTTGTGTGTTATTAACTCATTTAATAAGTTGCAACAACCTCATGGGGTAGACACTAGTGTCTTCTTTTTACAGATGAGGTGACTAGGGAGTAGAGAGATGAAATAACTAGCAAGCAGCAGAGCTGGGATTTGAACCCAGGAATCTGGCTTCAGAGGCCATACTCTCAACCACTATACTTCACATTTTCAGACTAGGAAGATAGTGAGGCCTAGAGTGAGGTTTCTGAATCTTGATGCACACACAAAGTTGACCAGATATTTACAGACATGCCTGGGATATATTAGGAGCTTGATGAGAGTCTTCAGACCAACAGGATTTGAGTTAGTCATAATAATGAGGAGCCAGGGAAGGTAGGCTTTACCAGCTTCCTCCCTTTGCTGGGTGATACACTCACCCAGAGGTGAGAAACTTCCAGTTCTCTGTTTATGGACTGCCCTACATCCTCAGAGAGCTCCCATTCTCAAGGACAGACCCCTGAGCAGGAATACCCAGGTGGGAGAGGGCAATAGGGGACAGGGATTGCCTGGGCCCAGAGTGCAGCTCTTGGCTCAAGCGTATGCAAGCTAAGAGTGAGACCTGTGAATTATCACCGGTAGGGAGGGCTTCCATGGACAGAGCATAGGTAGAGGCCTTGGGTTTAGACAGGGGAGAGGAGAGAGGATAGGTCCTGCTACCATCCTGGTTTTCCCCACAGGGCATCGGTATTTAATAGCAGAAGTTTGACTGTAGCCCTTGAGGCACAGTGACAGGCGGCTCAGCTGCAGACACATATATTTTAAAAAGTATTTATGGAGAGTCTGGGTGGTTCAGTCGGTTAAGCATCTGATTCTTGACTTCGGCTCAAGTCACGATCTCACGGTTCGTGA